CCCCAAAACCCCAAAACCCCAAAACCCCTCATTTCTGTTAGTAATTGGGATGAAGAAAGTTGAGCAAAAATTAATTTATAGCTTTCTTTAAGTTGATGAAATTTCTTCTTGGTGGCTCTTCTTCGTCATCACCAACCTCGCTTTCTAAGACTAAATACTGAAAACTTACCATCTGCTCCTCTGGAAACTTTAATCTTGTTTGTTTCGGAATGGTAGTCCCTACATTGTCATTTATCATAGCTTACCTATACCACCTATGCATGTTTTCTTGTTCAGTATCTATATGAATAAGTTACAGTTTATAGCAATTCTTACCTTTTACGATCCTGCCATCACTCTTAATTTTGTTTCTTAGGTTGAGCCTATAAGCGTCTTTGTCATGAACATCAGTCTCTTCCTCTTCTTCTTCCTCAATAATTGTCTCTGAGAACATAGATTCTCTGAGCTGACTAGCCCTTGATGAGGTCTTACTGTATCTTCCAGGGTTTTTAGTTTTCTTTCTGTAATAATCCATTGGAAGATTGCTGTTATAATTCTTTTGACCTCCTTTATCCTTGCTTCTACGAGAAGTTTTTGAGCCCGATTGTTCAATACTTGAGTCATCAATGAAGATTGAATTTTTACTCTTCTCCTTCTGTTTCTGAGAAGACCCAGCCATGACATATTTTTCATAATCAATCAACCTCTTCTCTCGCTCTTGAATTTCTACAATTCTGATATCTTCGTTCATGTTAAGGAACAGCCAGATTATGAGGCATATTGGGGTACTCACACCCACGAAGAAGATAGCAGCTACTGAATATTTTTCTAACAGTCAGTAAAGATTATATGGAGCTCTGTTTTCACACCCATAATCTGAGTTCTTCAGCATGATCCTCCCAGAGAGCATTTCATAAGTAAGGTAAACACCTCAGCCAATGGAGATTATTCAGAGAGTATGGGCTACTAGTACCTTTCAAAAACTTTTTGCATACAGCATATGAAACAGAAAGATAGGCAAAAAGGTAAATACTATTTCAAAAACTCATGTTGCATAGACAGCTGGGTTCCTCTTGTAGAGAAATGCAAAGTTAATAATTAAATAAATATATGCTATCCTCAAGATATTCAGGAGCAGTAAGACCAGCATCAGACATCTCTTAGTCGCTAAAACATCTTTTTTGGTCAAGCCTCCCATTAGTTTTCAATAAATATAATATTTCTTGGGGTTTTGGGGTTTTGGGGTTTTGGGGTTTTGGGG